CTCTGTACCAAGTGGCAAAGATTCGGCTTCGAATTTAAAACGACTGCTTGATTTAAGACTTACTTTTTTTTCAATTAATGTCCTACATTGTTAGTACAGACACAAGACATTAAAAAAAGGTATCTCAAAAAAGTACAAATGGGGGACCCTTTGGGTCGGCAGGTGCTCGAATCCCTGAGAGGAGGGGAAGCGTCATCCCCTACCCCCATAAATCCGCTGGTGAGATATACTGCTTGAAAACTCAGTTAAACTCGCCAATTTGAGTTTGGCCAATTTGAGTTTGCCTGAGCTTGATTAATCCTTTTGATATTTTCTTTCTTTGTATAGAAAAAGTTCGTTTCCGCTTGATCCGGAACTTCTGTGATGAGTTTTGACTTGAATGGATTCGATTGCGCGAATATTGCAAAATGCCTAGTTGCTTGTGTAAACAAGTAGCCGTTTGTGCTCCTTTTTTTCACTTTGCCGATTTTAGAGTGTCTTCTGGAGTTGCACCCGGACGAATACAAAAGTCTCTCTGAATGTCCATGAGTCCATGAAACGCCTTTTAGCAATAAAGATGTCTCTGACTACTTCTTTCTCCTGTGCAATTGTCTAGCCGCTCAGGGTAGCTTGACCCGTCAGACAAAAATTGATTTCAGGCTTTTTCGATCGGAATGTATCCTTTGATAGACTTACAGACGTTTGATAATTAAACTCTTTTCCTTCTTAAATAACAAATCACAGCTTTCAAAAATTTTTAAATATTGCACTGAGGATCGTATGCGGATAAATCGGTAAGAATCGTTTTCTACCCCCGGTACCTCGGGAGATAAACATTCTGGCGTTCTACGAACAGCAGCAGCATCACATTCTGGTGGCGTCCCCTTTCGTCGTTACACTCTTGCGTTTTACGAACAGCAGCAGCATCACGTGCAAAACAGTGTGCTTCCGCTGGTGCATCTGTAGCTGGTGCTACTGCCTCCGGTTTTTGCTACGACATTATTTATCATTTTTACCATATTTTTCACTAATATTGCAAGATGAATTAGAATCTTGATTTCAATATTTTGATGATTCTAAGTACATGAAGATACTAAAATCTAAAAACGTCATGACCCACCGCAGGAGTTTTCAACAACTCTCTTGAGTCACATTTCTCCAGCAGAGTAATCGCAAGATTAAATTGTCTTATGCAACTTTTCCAAATGCTAGGTGGATCCGACGTAGGTTTAGGTCAAAAGAGAGCTGCTCCCAATAAGTCTGTTTTGTCATTCACAATAGAAACTGCCAATTGCGCCATGTGGTTCCACGATGTTTCTAGAATCAGCAAAAGACTAAACTCAAGATTCTAATTCATCTTGCAATGTAAATAAAAAAAGTCATGACAATAAACGAATAGAGATTTCATTTTAGATTTTTTTATAAATTGAAAGAGAGTGGGTATGTCAATTAGCACCCACGAAAGCAGCGGGTAGACAGGCTGTCAATGGCTTTGGAAACCAAAGTGAACACTCACTTGATCGTTAGTATAGAGATATACCACAAAAACTTAGTGCACAGACCACGCTGCTCCACAGACTCACCGTAACCCGAAAATGGTTATATTTTTTTTCCATACACCGAAACTGCTTCTCGTACAGTCGCTTAATGAACAAAAAAATGTTTGAGCTGGTGTTTAAGGAGGGGAATGGATAATAAAATAAACTGAAAACTATTTTTCTCCACTTTGCGTGTATCTGCTAAAGTTTTGTCGGCTTTGCTACCTTGTTACCATGTTTTTCTTATAATGAACTGGCAAAGCCTCTCTTATTTTTTTTTGAAATGCACTAAACTTATTCACAATTTCATTTATATAACATTTATTGAAAATAAAAGATTCGCAAATTCTGTTTGACCTACTTTTTCTCAGACGTGTTTCAAGACTTTTTCGACTTATCGACTTTCGTCTCGTTACCTGTCGCTGGTTTTGCTTTGTTATGTTTGAGTGCTACCGTAATTAGCAACAGGATTACCATACGCTATTTAAACTAACGAATTGCAATCCTCAATAAAAGTTTATACGAAGTCTTAAGCTAAAGCTTTTTGAAGAATAACTTCAGAGATGATATCACATATTATTCCCATCAGTCCTGCGTTTACCAACAATCTAGATTTATCGAGTTTTCTGAGAACATTTTTCAACTGATTTTGTCAACTGATCTGCAGTGGTAGATTGCAGATCCCTCTGTACCAAGTGTCGAAGGTTCGGCTTAGAACTTAAAACGACTGCTTGATTTGAGACTTACATTTTTTTCAATTAATGTCCTACATTGTTGGTACAGACACAAGACATTAAAAAAAGGTATCTCAAAAAAATACACATGGGGGACCCTTTGGGTCGGCAGGTGCTCGAATCCCTGAGAGGAGGGGAAGCGTCATCCCCTACCCCCATAAATCCGCTGGTGAGATATACTGCTTGAAAACTCAGTTAAACTCGCCAATTTGAGTTTGGCCAATTTGAGTTTGCCTGAGCTCGATTAATCCTTTTGATATTTTCTTTCTTTGTATAGAAAAAGTTCGTTGCCGCTTGATCCCGAACTTCTGTGATGAGTTTTGACTTGAATGGATTCGATTGCGCGAATATTGCAAAATGCCTAGTTGCTTGTGTAAACAAGTAGCTGTTTGTGCTCCTTTTTTTCACTTTGCCGATTTTAGAGTGTCTTCTGGAGTTGCACCCGGACGAATACAAAAGTCTCTCTGAATGTCCATGAGTCCATGAAACGCCTTTTAGCAATAAAGATGTCTCTGACTACTTCTTTCTCCTGTGCAATTGTCTAGCCGCTCAGGGTAGCTTGACCCGTCAGACAAAAATTGATTTCAGGCTTTATCGATCGGAATGTATCCTATGATAGACTTACAGACGTTTGATAATTAAACTCTTTTCCTTCTTAAATAACAAATCACAGCTTTCAAAAATTTTAAGATATTGCACTGAGGATCGTATGCGGATAAATCGGTAAGAATCGTTTTCTACCTCGGTACCTCGTGAGATAAACATTCTTGTGTTTTACGAACAGCAGCATTATCACATTCCTCGGGCCTCCCCTTTCGGCGTTACATTCTTGCGTTCTACGAACAGCAGCAGCAGCATCACGTGCAAAACAGAGTGCTTCCGCCGGTGCATCTCTAGCTAGTGCTACTGCCTCCAGTTTTTGCTATGGCAATATATATCGTTCGTTTTTACCATATTTTTCACTAATATTGCAAGATGAATTAGAATCTTGATTTCAATATTTTGATGATTCTAAGTACATGAAGATACTAAAATCTAAAATCGTCATGACCCACCGCAGGAGTTGTCAACAACTCCCTTGAGTCACATCTCTCCAGCAGAGTAATCGCAAGATTAAATTGTCCTATGCAACTTTTCCAAATACTAGGTGGATCACACCATATTCCCATCTTTTCTGCGTTTACCAACAATCTAGATTTATCGAGTTTTCTGAGAAAATTTTTCAATTGATTTTCAGTGGTAGATTGCAGATCCCTCTGTACCAAGTGGCAAAGATTCGGCTTCGAATTTAAAACGACTGCTTGATTTAAGACTTACTTTTTTTTTCAATTAATGTCCTACATTGTTAGTACAGACACAAGACATTAACAAAAATCAAAGTCGAAAAAAAGGTATCTCAAAATTTTACAAATGGGGGAACCTTTGAGTCGGCAGGTGCTCGAATCCCTGAGGGGATAAAAGGACTAGCCACTGAATTATCTAAAGCAGAAGATCTGAAGCTGAAGCTGAAAGTTTTAGCTGAAGATCTGGTAGAAGCTTCGAAAAATCTTGAAGAATTATAGTGTTTGAGGACGAGCTCTCACTTGATCTCCAGCTTCAGGTCTACCTCAACCTGACGGATTTCAGTTGCAATAATGGTACCACGTGAAAACTCAATGATTTATTCCGGACACAAAAAATCATTGAGTTGCCTCAAAAAGAGCATCGCTCAACAAAAGTACTCAGTCTGGAATGCTGAGAAATAATGGAATTTGACTATGTTTAGGCAGGCCTTAAGGCTTTTTATAGATCCTCTGCGAATCGCAGAAACGCCAATTATTAATGTTTTAAGAAATTTTCAAAATCGATTGGTAAGCGGCAGAGTCATAATTTGGGTTTCTGAAAACGTAATCAGGATTTTTGGACTGCTTGAAGCCTTATTAAAACACATCAAAATTTTAAAGTATCTTCGTTATCTTTGAGGCGAGATTTTTAAGATGACTGCAAAGGATGTGATGTGGTTCATGATCATAGACCGGCAGACAGTCAGACAGTAAGATAAATGTATGAAACGCAGACACGAACATATTTGGCTACTGCAAAATTCGTTTTGAACTATCTTTTAAAAAAAAAGTAGTTGTTGACGTGATTGCTATCACAATATATTGCAGTGATTGCTAACAATTTGAAGGTTTTTCTCAAGTTTCCCGGGCCGAGGTCCACGACTTATGTCTAAAAATATTGGTCGAAAAATATCTTTTAAATCAAAATCAGTCAAAATTATTTTCCGCTCGTCACACCTTGCGATCATTGCGATCCAAACAGTCATGTTACAATCCTTACGACTTAAAATGGGTACCTTGCGATGTTGCGAGTCTTCATCGGAACATACCCATTTTGAATCGTAATGGGTGCAAAAAATTTTCCGGTCACTGCCTCGCGACAATCAAATTTGTAATTCACATTGCTTGTCAGAATTTTTCCAGGGCAAAAAAGGGGCAAAAAAGAATTGGCCTTAACGTATCTAAACCAGCTTTTGGCAAAAAAGTTAATTTTTTGAAAAAATTAATTTTGAAAAAATTAACTTTTTTAAAATGAAAATTGATAACGTGTCCAGCGGGTCAACGACCAGGTTTTTGATTAAAGTTTTTATACTTTTTGAATCCAAAGCTCATATAATAACTGACTCGATAAACGACCTGACCTGGCTTAGGTTGCCATTTGTTTTTGTAATTTTTTTCGACCAAAGTTGGTTATGAAGATGTTCCAGGAGTGGTGGGATTCTGCAGATAATTAATGTGGCTAAAGATGGGAAAATCAATGAGGACCCTGTACTCCGAGAAAATTTCCAGCGCATCCTCAAACCAAACAAATTCTCTGCTGCCTCGTCCATACAAGTAATCCAAGGTAAAATAACTTGTTTTTAGACATTCAAAAACACGCTGATGTGAATTCCGCGGTAGAAAATAGTCGCAGAAAATTTTTTTTTAGTCAAGAAAAAATCGAAACAATCAAATTTGGGCGTGATAGTCTAAAGATTATTCGCGATTGTCTGAAAAATAGTCGTGATTGTCTGGAAAAAAATCCCGATAGTTTGAAAAGTAGTCGTAAGTTAGTCGCGATACCCAGAAAACTTGAGATTGAAATCGATGTAAATCGATTTTTATACCTGATGAAATACTCTATAAAAATCAATTTACGCTTGCCCATTTGGATATATAAGCCAATTTAGAATAGATTTACATGGATTTTCACGGTAGAAACAAAGAGGAACAACACGGTAGCAAATATGAACGCTAATCATCTTAATTATAAAAATTAACGTGATAGGTTCAAAAATGAGATAAAACCATTTTTTAAAATTTTATCGTTTTATTGAAAAGATTGAAGAAGCGTTAAAAAATTCTCAGAAATTTTTTCGAAATTTTTTTCGAAATTTTTTGTGCGCCCTCCAGCAATTTCTGCTTTCATTGTTCATTTGTGTAAATTAGTCTACAAAACATATGAAACACTCAAGAACAAAACAATCAAAATTCGATCAACACTTTTGACGACATGTACTACTGACAAATGAAATGTATTGTTGCCTATTTGATACAAAATATCTAGATTATTTTGGTAGTATCTGTTTTAAATGAAATGATTTTTTAAATTTTGCCATACACGCTATAAAATAATACAAAATTGGGCTTTTTTGTATCCCAGTTTTGATTTTTTTTTTGTTGAAACTGCAAATGATTTTTCTGAATAGTAGTTTTAATTGTTTTTCGATATCTAAATTAAAATAGATAAATTGTCATAAGTAATAAGTAAACAAAAATCTATAAATTTTTCTTCAAATTATTTGCCTTATGATCAACCTTTTTATGTTGTAGATTTTTGAAGTAGATAAAAATAGAATTAGGACAAAAAATCAATTTTAAAGTTTAGTGTTTCTTATTTGTTGCCTTGGCGATAATCAAGGGCGTTGCAACTGGGCACTAGATTTTTCCCGCTACAAAAATATTTGTTCATAAAATTTCGCGCATTGAAATTACACGTCTTTAAAATTAGTTATCCACCGCGTAGAAGTAACACACCTTCGTGAAGCGAGAACGCCTGAGGTTCAAATCGGCTGCCCCGGGCGGATCTAGGATTTTCTCGAAGGAGGGGCGGATGTTCATAAAGTTTTCGAAATTTTGTCGACTTTTTTTTAGGTCGACCAAATTGGTTTCCCGAGCTCTCTAAAAGCACTGAAAAGTCCCTGTTTTGGCCAAAATTTGAGCGCCTGCAATTTTGAAAAAAAGGCCAAAAAGGCGTTTTTAGTCACTTTTTGGAAAATTTTTACCAAAAAAATAGTTTTTTTTTGCGCGCGCTCCCCCCTTAAAATAAGTATACGTTGACGCCAACGGCGCCTTTAGAAAAATTTAAGTGTCTGTCTGCCAAAATTGGATATCTCAAAACAGTTTCAAGGAGGGACCTAAGGAAAAAAGTCTGTCTGCCAAAATTGGATATCTCAAAATAATTTAGAGGAGGGACCTTGGGAAAAAAAAATTCCTGAGTCCTAAATTGGAAAAGTATAGCAATTAAGCGCAAGAATTTGAAAATTAATTGCAATTGATCAAAAAGGCGCAATAGGCAGCAATTGGCGCAATAGGCAACAATTGGTGGCAAGAGAAAATGGGTCAGAATAATTTCAATAGTAGTAGCCATAGCTTGAAAAAAGTTACACAAGTCCAAGTTCGTGGAACGAAAGTTCTTAAAAACAAAAATTTACATACTAAAAATTTAGGTTAATATGCTAACCTCTGTTCAAAATGAAACGATTTTCTTGAAGGAATCAAAATAGTTTAAAAAATTTTGTGTATTTTTAGACTATAAAAAGGATTATTTTCTATGGGGATCAGAGAAAGTAAAAAGTTGGTTTCTGATTATTGTAAGAGTTACAGGGAGAATTGGATCCTTGTTTGCTTTTCTTTTTCCATTTCGTGTAATGTAAAAAGCACCAGAAAGCAAGATTCAATTTTTTTAAACTTATTAATTCGTATGCTTTATAATTCTCACGCAAGAGCATAAACACTTGCAATCGAAAACTAGTTTTTTTCCGACAAGCATTTTTTTTTTTAAAATCTAACAAAATCAGTTATGAAACATTTTTGGCTCATACACTTTCAAATTGGTCCGTTGTTGAAACACATGCGTTCGAATCCTAAGTCCAAGAGTTTGAGTCCCGAACAGGCCTTTTTCGTTATATATGTAAAGTGATGTTTTTGTATGGAAAACATTGATTGTCAGATTTACGTTTGTCCTCTTAATTTTATCGATTCATTTTCAAATCATTGACTTTTTTCTGATTTAGGCAACTTTCACTAAAACTGAAAAACATTCTGTAATATGTAATTTTTCATCTTTGATTCTGCAGAGAAAAGTGTTTCCTACTCAAATAGTTTTGATTTGTTTTATATTAACACACTTAATATTGCATTATTTGTTAAAAAAAGCTTCGGTTTCACTGGCGTTTGCCATGTTTTTTTGACTTAGTTGTCGCTCGGTAATTTGTTTTGAATGCTTTTTGGTTTTTCTTGATATTTTTACTCAAATGTAACGTCATTCAAATCAGCAAATATTGTTTTTGTAGATGTAGTCTTTTTCGATACTTTTTCCAGTTAACCTTAAACTTGGAGGTTTTTGTCTTTTTTCCAAAACACTAGCTTGCAATGTTGTGTTAGTGTTGTTCTGCAATGGTTTCGAAGCTTGGTTTCACTGTATTTATGAAATTTTGGCAAAACGAGGCTTTTCCACTCTGTCCACTCCTCCACGCGCATTTCAATTCTCCTTTTTTTAACAGTGGTTTTTTTAATAAGTGTTTGTGTTGTAACCGCTAATTGCGTGATGTTGCTATTCAAAATCAAAACAAAACATCTGTTCGAAATCATAAGTCTAATCAGCATGCAAATTGCATAGTTAAAATAGGTAGGGCGACAATTCGTATCAGGCCACAATTAGTAACAAGGCGTTGGCAAGTAGATTACGCTTGCTCCGCTGCTTTTACATCCGGCACCAGAGGAATACTGTGCGTGAGCACCAGTGTTCCCCCGCCTAACCTAAAGTTACGAATTTTTGCCTGTTACGAAATGTCACCTGATGCTAATTGTCGCCTGTTGCGAATTGTCGCCTTCTACAAATTTTCGCCCCAAGTTTAAAATATTTTTCCAAACTTGACTTCAAATGTGGAAGGAAAACTGGAAAAAGGTAAGGACGACAATTCGTAACAGGCGACAATTCTTAACAAGGCATTGACACGTGGAGTACGCTTGCTCCTCTTCGCTCCGCTGAGCTTACATCCGGAACGAGGGAATTACTGTGTCTGAACCAGTTTTCCCTGCTCAATCTACTGTTACATTTTGTCGCTTGTTACGAATTGTCGCCTGTTGCGAATTGTCGCCTGTTGCGAATTGTCGCCTGTTACAAATTTTCGCCTCAAGTTTAAAATATTATTCCAAATTTGACTTCAAATGTGGAAGGAAAACTGGAAAAAGATAAGGACGAAAATTCGTAACAGGCGACAATTCGTAACAAGGCATTGACACGTGGAGTACGCTTGCTCCTCTTCGCTCCGCTGCGCTTACATCTGGCACGAGGGAATTACTGTGCTAGAATCAGTTTTCCCTGCTCAATCTACTGTTACAATTTGTCGCTTGTTACGAATTGTCGCCTGTTACGATGTGTCGCCTCACATGGATATTGCCCGTAACGCAAATTTTTGAGTTGAAAAAACAATTTTTTGATTCGGTACAACTAAAAGAGGCGTTTTTAAAAAAAAATACTTTGGTTATAAATTGTTAAAAATTACAGAGAATTTTTATCTTTGGACGTTACCCATATTTTTTTTTACCTTAGGGTGAGGGATAAATTGAAGAAAAATCTGGTGGCTGCACTTCCCCTCTCAGTGTTTAGAGGACTGATATTTCAGGGAAGAGTACGTATGGTCTAAGAAAATTTTGATTTCGGTTTCGGGTAGTCCCGAAAAATAATTAGTACAGTATAGTTTTTTATAAATTAAAATTTTTGGTTCAATAACGAAATGATGACTGCTTATACTGTATGTGATAATATTTTTTATTTATTTGGTGGAATGGATTATGTTTGATTAAATCTTGGGTTAAATAGGGGAGGAGTCTTTCTCATTATATCCAGTAACAATAAAAACAGCCCACTACACGCTGATTGTACCATTACGGTAGCTACAATTTTCTGGGGCAGGGTTATGATGGGAAAGAACCTAAATCAGCTGGAAGTAATACAAATCGGGCGACAATATTATTTTTCTATTCTCCCAACACCTCCCCTCCCCCATTTAAATCCATATCTCCGCTATTGTAATGTAGAGCACCAAACACCATGTTACTTTCTCCTTTTCAATAATATAGGCCGTGAACCTGGCGAAACTTTCTTGTGTGTATGGGGAAAAATGGGCAACCTACGAGTGTTCGACATGCACAATCTATCAAACGAGTTTGAACAAAAAACTGTGAATCAGGAGCCATATTCGAAACTGAAGCAGATGCTCGTGAGCAAAGCGGGAGAGTTGTGCCTTTTCCAGGACTATGGTATATGTGAAACTCAAAACAAGTTGACCGTCATGTCCTTTCAAATCGCCACCAAGTCTAAAAACGTAAACGATATACCTGATCGGATAATAGGAATAGAGGTACGTAATCAGAGAAGCATTAGCGTGTCGAGGGGCTCAATGTTTTTAATGCGTAGTGCCTCTTCCTCGGTGTTTTTAAAGAGACCTCTCTTGTACCATTCATTGTACATTGATTCTGAAGCATTCAAAAATCATTATAGCTTTAAAACAGCCCAGGTCGAGGTCCGCGACTTAAAAAAACACCGGCGCGACCCAAATTTGGCAATTCCAGACCGGCGTGATATTATTTTGTCATTTCAGGACTGGGGTGACCAAAACTTAGCAATTGAAGACCTTGGTCTTTACTTCAGTCGGATAAGACTTGGTCTTTTCTTAAGTCGCGCCTTCGGTCTTTTCTTAAGACTTTTCTTAAATCGCCTCGCTTAAGTCTTTTCTTAAATCGCGCCGCTTAAATTTTTTCTTAAGTCGCGGCGCTTAAGTCTTTTCTTAAGTCACGTCGCCAGTCTTATCTTAAGTCTTTTCTTATGTCGCGGCGTCGGTCTTTTCTTGTCGTGCCGCTTAAGTCTTTTCTTAAGTCGCGCCACTTAAGTAATTTCTTAAGTCGCGCCGCCAGTCTTGCAGTCTTGTCTTAAGTCGCGCCGCTTAAGTCTTTTCTTTAGTCACGGCGTCGGTCTTTCCTCAAGTCTTCGGTCACTTGTGAAAACCGATAAAACCCGATAAGTTCATTCATAATTGGCTTTGATCAATTAAATTCTTTTTGAAAAAACCTGATTGTTACAAGACTACTTTGATAAAATCGAAATTTCAAAGTTGCATCATTTCTATTAATAAAAATTTGCCCGTTGCAGCTCATCTAGTCTTAAAATCATCACTTAAACTCCACGCACCATCCCCCACTACCCCCTCCCAGCAAATACTATTACTCGCCCCCATTACATCAAAACTCAACTTGGGACAAGGACGTTTCAATCTTGTTCTCCTAGTCGTGGCGTCGAGGCTGGGCGAACTAAGATAGTTTTTCTGAGGGTTGCATTTGGCAAAGGAGCTTAGGGGTTTTAGTTTCGCGAAATTCTCTCGGTGTACTGTAGCTCTCTATAGAGTTTGGGCCACCAAGTTTACTGAAGAGATAATAACTTTATAACGAACTGCCCAGGTGTTCTAACGAACTGGTTCTTGAAAGCGTTGTATCACGCTTTGAACGATTTTCGTTGAACAATTTTTTTATACAAAATTAATGTGTTCAATCACTATAGATGCCATTGTATCGCTGGTTGAGAAATTAGATTCAACTGGAATGATCAAACCATCTCAACCCAGCTTACATTCATTGACCTGAAAAAAAAGCTTTTTACACTGTCGACTATAGCATTCTGCCTGTTAAATGATAGCCATTTGAACTTGAGGGGCTGATTTTTAATTTATTGAAATCATATTTAATTTTTTGAAAGCGTAGCTTGAGTCTGCTCTTAAGTCGCGCAGCTTAAGTCTTTTCTTATGTCGCGGCGCTTATGTCTTTTCTTAAGTCGCGTCGCCAGTCTTATCTTAAGTCTTTTCTTAAGTCACGGCTTCGGTCTTTTCTTGTCGTGCCGCTTAAGTCTTTTCTGAAGTCGCGCCGCTTAAGTCTTTTCTTAAGCCGCGCCGCCAGACTTGTCTTAAGTCGCGTCGCTTAAGTCTTTTCTTTAGTCACAGTGTCGATCTTTTTTTAAGTCTTCGGTCACTTGTGAAAACCGATAAAACCCAATAAGTTCATTCATAATTGGCTTTGATCAATTAAATTCATTTTGAACAAACCTGATTTTTACAAAACTACTACGATGAAATCAAAATTTCAAAGTTGCATCATTTCTATTGATAAAAATTTGCACGTTGTAGCTCATCTAGTCTTATAATCATCACTTAAACTCCACGCACCATCCCCCACCACCCCCTCTCGGTAACCACTATAACTCGCCCACAAAACATCAAAACTCAACTTGGGACCAAGACGTTTCAATCGTGTTATCCCAATCGTGGCGTCGAGGCTGGCGACCTAAGGTAGCTTTTCTGAGGGTTGCATTTGGCAAAGAAGCTTGGGGTTTTATTTTTACGACCTCATTTTGTGAAATTCTCTCTGTGAACAGTAGCTCTCTATAGACCTTGCGCCACTATATTTACTGAAGAGATAAGAAATTTATGAGCAACGGCCCGGATGTTAAAACGAACTCGCACTTGGAAGAGTTCTATCACGGTTTGAAATATTTTTGTTGAACGTTTTTGTTTAACAAGAGTAATGTCTTCAATCACTATAGATGCCATTGTATCGCCGGTTGAGAAATTAGATTTCACTGGAATGATTAAACCATCTCAACACAGTTTACATTCAAACAACTGAGAAAGCTTTCAACACTTTTGACTATAGCATTCTGCTGGATAAATGCACGTCATTTGGAGTTAGGGTTTTTTTTATTTATTGGAATTGTATTTACTAAACAGAAAACAATGTGTACATTTCGAGATCAAAATCAAAAATTGAAGAAAAAAAATTGATGTCCAACAAGGATCAATTTTAGGCCCACTTCTATTCATGTTATACTTTAATGATGTAGAAAAGAGCAACAGTCGTCAACAAGTTAGTAAAAAATTGTTCTTTGCGGATGATACAGCCATAAAATTAAATTCTTCAATAGACATAAGCAGATAATATAGGTCTAAAAGCAGATACCCAAGAAGTTTTAAAGGAAACTAATGTTTGGTTAGCAAGCAGTAAATTAGCACTTAACACAAAAAAAAAACAAAAACTACGCTTTTCGGCCAAAAATCAGCTGTTAAAAATTCTACAGATACAACAATTAATGGCAAAAAAAACTTAAAAAAATGAAACACTTTAATAATCTCTGAATAATTTTAGATGAAAAATAAAATCTCGCAAACCATATATTTTCTATAGAGAAAACTAAGCCTGTACTATGGGCTGTTTTCGAGACTGAGAAAAAATTTTGACAAAAATTAGCTTCTTTTGGCCTATAAAACTTTCTTTCAAACAATTTTACATTACGGAGTCCTCGCTTACGCATCAGCTGATAGAACAAAATTGGAACACCTATAAATGCTCCTTAAACGTCTTATATAAACCTTATGTTATAAAAAAATTCAATTCACTTAAATTTATACAATAGCAATATATATTATATTTTTTATATTGAAGACTTTTATACTTATGAACTGCTAAAAGTTTTGTGCAAAGTATTGCGGAATGAATGCCAATCTGAAATTTAAACAAAATTAATTACTAAAAAATGCAAAAAAAATAAATAAAAAAATATAGCGAGAGCTGTCGTTATTATCTCAAAGTTTGCATCAAAGCATTCGATTGCTGACAGAACAGTTAGCTCTTTTTGTTTTCTCTTTTTACAGAAATGATTTAAAAAAATTATAAACAGGAGCTTTAAAACTTCAACCTTTAGATGAGTATATTCAAGATAATTGTGATCTGATAAATGGGTTGTTTTGCATTTAAACTATAATAAATCTGTAACTGCATCCTTGGTTGTCTTTCGACAATTTTTTTTAAATTTTTGAAGATTTTTGTTATTATTAGGATTAATGGTAAACTCGTAATTTCAATCGAACGGTTCAACTTTTACCTATTTATTCTTCAAGTGTACCAAAAAAAAACAATTCTTGTTCTCGCTCTAAGACGCCTGAAAACAGGCTTAGTTTACTCTTAAGGCGCTCTCCCAAGTGATGTTTTTGTGAAAGGATTTCTTCACATTTCTTGCAATTCTGTACGTGCGATGACTTCATTTGGAAACTGTTTATTTATTTTTTTAATTTAGTTATCACACTGATATCACCAGGTGATCTTCGAACCAATAGTATCCTCAAGTTACATGCAAATTGGGTTTCAACTTATTAACTTCGATAATAATTTCCACGAGATAATATATCTTCTTTACCTTCAGCTGGTTTAAACTTCATTTTAATTCTGTAGGAAAAAGTCTGTGCCAGCTAGCAAGTTCATATTTTTGATAACAGTTGTATCACTCCATGGAAATGGGAATAACATAAATTGTTCTTTTTTTGACAAGTTTTTTTTTGTAGCTGAAAACGAATTCGAAATAATCTAAATGGGATTTGGACTAGCTCTAGAACGGTGTCTGTTTCCCCAGTATAATTCTAGATAATGCCGAAAAATTAATTAATCTGAACGAGTTTATTTCACCGAACCCTGATTTACGATGTCAAATTTTATTTTGTAACTGATTTTCACACGTAAAACGTTTTTCCAGAAAAAGACGAATTAATCTAAAATGCTGTTGTTTTTGGCACTAATTATATTGCCATTAACAGTATGGCATTAACTATATTTAGACCAGCAGAGCGCTTTCAACCATTCTTTTTTCCATTATTCAATTCTAAGGTGCATTAACAAAATTGTTCCACACAAAAGAGTTCAATGCAAAACGGTCCGAAACATCAAAAAAATTTCTAAAAAACAGTTCCATACAAAACAGTCCAAAACCATTTTTGGACCTTGATTTTTTCGCGCCGGCAAAAGGCAAAATTGTTTTACGATTTACAACATCAAGCATGATCGTACTTAAAAATCAAATCAACAAAAATCAAACAAAAATCAGATCAAGCTAAATGGCCTAATGGTATAGTGGTTAATTCGTAAGACTCAAACTCTAGAGATCAGAGGAGCGAATCCACGGCGGCACAAAACGGGATTCGATCCAAAACGGGATTCGATCTAGGGTACAGAAAATTGGCTCGAAATAGAGTGCTGGGCGAGTGTAAAAAGAAAATCAACACCTTATATGTTTTGAGTGTTTTACCGGTTTCAAAACAACTAGAATTTTGAAAGCCGGTAAAATCAAGAAAAAAAACCAAGGAGAAAAATCGAAAAAAATCATTATAGTTGGAAGAATTTAACTCCTTGGCAATGTTGAACTTTTTGACAATATGCGGGGAAGGTCATTTTTTAAACATTTTGTTGGCGTTTTCATTGCTCTATGTCAAAGCTGGGCTTCTATCGTCTTTGAGTATATGGGCAGAAAATAAGGAGACGACAAAAACTT